AGTTAAGTAACTCTCCCTCACTTTGTCACTAAAACAGAAAATAAGACATCTGTGTTTTACTGGAAATTACCAAAGGGTATAGTCAAGCAGAAACAATGAAAGAGAGTTGGGTAGCAAACCCGCTGGCTAAATCCACCCTAGGTAAACAGGCCTGCTTTTCAGAAACCTCTCTGGGGAGGAATGGCCTGGGTCAGGAGAATGGCACACCCTGGCCATTCAGACCAGAGAACCCATGTTGCCTAACAAATTATGTATGTTGATAGCAAGTAAACAATTCTTTGCTGAGCATTGTCTTTTGAAAAATCTTATAGTGGGACATGACATTATATAACCAATATAGACATAATGTTTGCCATGTTTCAAGTTTTGGTAAAATGTAGTTTGAAGCAGAAGCAATATAGGGTTAAGATAATGGTGTAAATTGGGATGTGTATCAACGTAAACTTCGCTAATTAAAAAGAGATACACAGATAAGAGTCTGTTTCTTTGATAACCTGGCTTTAAGAGAAAAGTTGATCAGGGAACCATTTTATTTAAGTGAAAAGGAAGCTCCAAGCTTTAGTTAGCAGTTGGTAATCCCTAATTTGTGGGTTTATGTTGAAGCAAGTTAATAAAAGGAGCTGAGGGAAAGATCAGAGTGATGTTTCATAAAATTCTGGAGCAAGAGTGACCCTGGAGAGCATCTAGTTCAATGATCTCATTATAAAAATGCAGGCACTGAGGCTGGGGAAGGCAGGCAACCTCCCTAGGGTTTCAGTTATATAGTTATGCACAAAAAGCATGTAAATATTATTTTTTGAATAGTTGTGTGGATGGGGAGTAGGAAAAGTGAGGAACATTTGTACTTCTAATCTTTGGCCCGTTTTCTCTAATATCATTTGCCTGGTTCTATTTGATACAATAGTTCTCTGCTCTCCCCCCACCCATATTGAATATTTTTAAATTAGCTGTAAACAGAAAGATCTCATTAAAGAAAAAAATGAAGTCAAAGACTTTAATATTGTTTTATTTATTTCTAAAAATAATATGTGATGTGATATAAAACCTACAAATTATAAAAGGTCTAGAATTAGTAAATGATCCTCTCACTCCTGCTGCAGTCCCACAGCTGAGTCTCCCAGGGCAGTCTGCCACAGCTCCCAGGGTGCCTTCTGAGTATCCCTCACATGTGCAAATATGCACTCCTCTTTTCTTTCTATTTTACACAAATGTCAGCCCACTATTCAGGGTGTCTTGCATCTTGCTTTTATTATTTAGCAATGCATCTCTGGGACTGCTAATTTATCAGTGCCAATCCAGTAGCTCCTTTTTTTTTTTTTTTTTGTAATCTTTATTGTCTGGAACTTCTAGAATTTATTTAACACGTTTAGGTTATCATGTTCTGTTTTGTGTTATTTCAAATAAGCTGTGATAAATACCTTTGTACATATATTATTTCATACACGTGGGAATGTGACTATAATATAAATTCCTAGAAATGAAATTATGAAGATAATGGGAATGTGTTTTGCATTTTGTTGATACTGTCAACTTTCTGTACCATTAACAAAGAGATGGGTGCCTGTTGCTCCACACTGTAGCCAGCACTTGGCCTTACCAAGTTTTCTTTTCTTTTTTTTTTAATTCAATCAGCCTAGGTTGAATTATGAGAGGTAAAATATCTGATTGTATTTTTTTTTCATTTGTGTTCACACTCAGGTTAACATTCGTTTGGAGAATATATGATCTCTGGATACAAACAAATATGTGAGTTTTATACTTTATGAAATATTTATTTCTGTTTCATTTAAATCATGTTATTAGGAATTAAGTGTGAATTTTATCAGTACTTATTTGAAATCTAATTATCACATGGTGCTTACTCATTTGTTTGTTTGAGTCTTTCAACATGTAAGTATCTGCTGTGTCCCAGGGAATATTGCAGCAACAGGGAATATAGTGAAGAACAAAAAAGACAGATGTCCACTTTCTTACAGTAATCTATTCCAGTTTGATATGGTAATGTTAATTGTTCATCAGCTCTCTAATTTCAAATCATTCTTTCTTTTCTATAGTAGATCTCATGTTTGAACTTATCATACATTTTATCTTTTATTCTATTTAAGATCTTAACTTTGGCATTAATAAGTGAAATTAGCCTATATTTTGTGGTTTTTTCATGTTTCATTATTTTTATCAATATAAATTTTCTTTATAGAAAGATTTGGATGTTTTCCTTCTATTTTCATGTGGTTTTGGTCAGTTTCAATAACATCAGGTGTATCTTCTCAAGTTTGTGTTCCTATTCCTCTGGAAAGCTGGGTTCTTTGACATTATCTAGATTTTCTTTATGCTAACTGGTCTGTTTGGATTTAATGTCTTTGACTGGATTCTTTGACATTATCTAGATTTCCTTTGTGCTAACTGGTCTGTTTGGATTTAACGTCTTACCTACTTTACACTTTAGTTCTTACATTTTTAGTGCGTCTGGGTTTTCAAATTTACTTGTGTAAAAATGAACAGATTTTCTCTTCAGATTACTTTAATTTCTGTCGTTGAGTTTATTTTTTTATTTCTTTGCTTGAATAATTGTATTTATGTTGCTTGTTTAGGTGAGGTAGAGATACATTAATTTTATTGTACTATTTAATTATGTACTAGGTCTTCCATTTATTGTTTCCTAATTTATAATTTTTGGCTTTATTTTAATTAATTGTTTCTGTTTAGGTATATTTCATTTGTTATTTCTAATTTACTTGTAGTATGTGTAATTAATTTTTCAGTCTTTTTGGTTATTAATAGAATTATTTATTAGACATTCTCATTTTTAAATGCATTTTAAAAGAATGTTCTACAAGGCACCATTTTAGTTGTTTCCAATAATTTCTATCATGCAGTGTTTTAATAGTTAAGGACTACTTGATACAAATTGATACATGTCTCTGTAAGGCTAGAGCCAGTAACATGATCTTGAAGACTTTTGATTAGTGGAATAAAGATTGAGTTATAAATTTGTTTGAAATAAGTTTTTACTCATATTTAGAAGACTAAAATCGGGTTTGATTAAACTAAGTTTGATAATTTTCAAAAGTACCAAATTACATTATAGTTTGATTTCCTTATTGTTTGGTTCCTAAACACTGTCTTTTGAATTAAAGCTTGTGTTTAAAAATTAACATTTTTTTTCCCCCCACTAAACCACTCTTTAAAAAAAGAAGAGAAAATCACTATGGTCTCCAAAAGTCCTTTAAAGTAACCATTTTAAGAAAAGCTGACTACTCTATAACTTAGAGAAGAAACCAAAATTTAATTTTTAGCAGTGTATTTTCATCAAGCAGTTTACATGAAAGATAGTAAGTAATCCAGCAAGCCAGCCACCGCCCCTACCACACACACGCACAAATGTTCTCTTGTAGTAACATTACCCGGACTCAAAATATATTTACCGAGAACTATTTTATATTCAGCTTGGCACTGATGAATTCAGACACATTAGCTCATGTAATAATCCTCTTAATATTGGCTTAAGCTAGGCATTGATATACCTTTCTTTTAAAGTATGGAAATTAAACCTCAGGGAAGGCTCTTTGCTCTGGGTAGGAAAGGACATAACAGGGAATCAACACTAGATCTTCTGATATTTAAACAGCTCTCACGAGATTAAAAAGAATGCAACAAATAAGGCTTAGCTGGCTATCTCTTTTTCCCAATATTCTCTGAAAATAGCCATTGTGTCAGTGCAACAGGTGCATCATTTCTATTATAAACATTTAGTGAGCACCTACTTTCTATGCAGCCCCCCTCACACAGTGATTTCCCAGTGGAAGAGGTACTATGCCACCTGGCATGTCTAGCAAAGGGGCATGTTGTAGAGCTTGGGAAGGCTGAGTCCAGCAGGAATCAGAAAAGAGGACACTTAAGAAGGAGTATGCAGATCTGGAATTCTGGAAGATGTTCCAGATGTGCACTTAGAAGCCACAAAAGGAAGAAATATGGCAGATACAAAGGGAGGTTGCAAATAATGTCAGGCATCAATTTTTTGCAATGTAAAGATACTGGGAATTTCTTTTTTCTTTTTCTTTTTTTTGATATTCTGCAATTGAAAATGAGTGAGCTTAATGGTGACAGAAGGAAGAAAAAGGAGGGGCAAAATAAGAGGAAAGGAATGATAGATAGTTTAGAGAAGCCACAAACAATTATCACTGAAGAGGTAGAAGATATTTATTTCAATGTCATCCATTCCACTCCTTTATTTTCAGGCAGACTTAATACTCAGATTCTTTGGATAAGATGATAAAATATAGCTTTGTACAGAATTATGTCTCTCCCAAATTTAATGTTAAAAGTTCTGACCCTCAATTTGACTGTAGAAGATAGGGCCTTCCTGGAAGTAATTAAATAAGGCCATACCTGATCCAGTAAGTCTGGTTTTTTTACAAGAAGAAAGACCCTTGAGTTCCCTTTTCCTCTTCCTCAGTGAGAAAGTAGCCACCTGCAGGTCAGGAAGAGAGCACTTAACCCAGCCAGATTTTGATACAGAGCTTCCAGCCCCCATAATTGTGAGAAAATGTGTTTTTGTGTTTTAAGTCATCCAATCTATGGCATTTTGTTAAGCCACATATGTTGAGTATTACAAGCACTGTTTAAGAATAGTTTCCAAACTGGGAATTCCCACCATCCTTTAGCATTGATGACTGTAAGCATCATCAATGATAGGGAAAGTATAAAGGTGAGGTGGGTGATCTTCCAAAGAACTGTGAAAGCTACTGTTAATCACATGTGCTGTGTCATCCCAAGGCAGTTTTAGGGAGTTTCAGGGACATTTTAGTACTGGTGAAGGTATTGAAAGAGATAAAATGGAAAAACTGAGGGTAATTCTATGTAGAGTTGTGTGTAGGGGGACTTTCAAAGAGTTGATGTTTAGGAGACATTTCTACTCATTAAATGTGAAATCAGGAGAGGAAATCATTTCTTCCTGCAAACATACAAACTGCTATTGGAAGATATGAAAGGTCATGTTAAATGGGGGAAAGGCTTAGGCCAATACTATAATTAATCCATCCACGCATTCTTTTATTTTTTTTTAAAGATTTATTTATTTGTTCATATAGAACTGGGGTGCAGGCCAGAGGCTTAGGGGCAGCGAGAGGCTTCACCAGAGACAGAGTGGGGGGCAGCAGAGGCAGATCGATGAAGTACACTGCTGAGGGGAGCAGCAGGTGGGTCAGGAGAGGTCTGCCATGCCATGTGGTCACCTCTGGGGCAGGCGGGAATCGAACTCATGTGGAAATGGCTTTAGCTTCCCAGTGCAGTGCTTTAACCCGCTGCGCCACCAGGGAGGGCCCCAAGCATTCTTTAACACATATTTATGAAACCTTAGTACATACCGGGCCCTGGGTTCTGATCAGGTCTGGAAGCCTCTTGCATAGATTCCTCAATTCCTGTCATCATTATATCTCAGCCAAGAAACATTCTTTTCTTTGATCACCATGTGGTTTAGAATGTTCTATTGGTCAGGACTCTCATAACCTTTTGCTTATGGTCCTTCTCTTCCCCTGTCTCTTCTCTCAAGACCTCCAGTATCAGGATGAGGAGTTTAGCAGTATTTTCTCAGGCTCATCTTGGAGGAGCTCCACATTTATTTTATAACCTTAGGAAATAGTTCCCTAGCCAGTGAAGATGGAGAATCCCCATTGGGCCTTTCTGTGCAACTATTAGTTTTATTAAAAACTTCCATTTATGAATCTGCAACATTTGTGCTCTAATCTCACAGACTGGGTCATTGTACTGTGCCTGTTACTGAAGTAGAAGGACTATATTTCCTTATACAGTTGCTGTCCTCAGTGGGGCCAGGAGGGAAGCTCTATGAAAGGAGCACCAGCTCATAGAAGCTTAGATCACAGATGCCCAGCAGTGCCTTGAAAGTTGGAAGAAAAGATTAAAGGCCACTCTTAATCACAGCAGTGACATTGCTAAAAATACATTGGTATATCCCTCCTTTTTCACCCTCCAATGTCTTCAGTTATGTTTTAAGTCACCTGTGTCGATTTCAAAGATTCTTCTGGAAGCCTAAGTCCTTCTTAATAATTCTTTAATAACTAAAATACAGAATTGGATTCCGAAGCCCCTTCACTCAGATATTTTGAACACTGATGTTAAGATTTAAGTTGAGATGTTGGCACTATCATTCTTTCTTCATTTGCCACACTGGTTGATCCTATGACCTTCTCAGATGTACATGAGGTATATTTAGAAATGGGACTGATCTAAGTGAATTGCAGCACCAAGGAGCTGTTTGCTCAATGGAGCCATCGTGCTTTGACTTTATGTCACTCTGCTCTCACAGACACCTTTTTATAAAGAAAACAAAACACTTTATAAAAAGAGCTTTTAAAAACTAAGCACTTTCTCTTTTCTTTTCTCTAAGCAATATAGGCAAAGAGATGGAATCTGATTTAGTTTATTTGGTTAGATTTTCACATATCCTTTTTTCCTAAATGGATCAATGATCAGTCTATGTTGGATTATAAAGAAAAAAAGACACTTTTTGGGCCACTTACCATGAAGTTCTAATATTGGAAACTGAAAAGGAAAGTGGAGGGGAAGGGGGATGAGGCAAGAAAAAATGATGGAGAGGATAGAAGGGATCAGAGGAAGTGATCAGAAGTGAACCACTGGAGTTGAGAAGTCACAAGAAACTTGAGGGAACATGGAAACCCCATTTTCAAGAAGACTTTCATTTAAACCCTTCCAACAAAAGGAGGGCA